TCCCCGTTTTGCATAACTGAAACTTTGTACGCCTTGACCAACACCTCCCCATTTCCCTTTCCTCAGCCCCTAGTAACCACCATGCAACTCTCTGCTTCTGTGAGTTTGACTATTATAGATTCCAAAGAATTTTCTATGTAGACTGTCATATCATGTGTGAATAAAAGCAGTTTTATTTCTTCTTTCCCAATTGGAATAACTTTTAATTCCTTTTCTTGCCTTATTGCCTTGGTTAGAATCAGTGTTGATAGAAACAATGTTGAATAGAAGTTGTAAGAACAGACACCCTTGTCTTGATCTCGATCTTAGGGATTAAGCAGTCTTTCACCATTAAGTATGATGTTATCTGTAGGTTTTTTGTAGATGTCCTTTATCAGGTTGAGGAAGTTTCCTTCTATTCATCATTTGCTGAGAGTTTTTATCAGAAATGGCTGTTAGATTTGGTCAAATACTTTTTCTGCAATTATTGAAATGATCATATGGTCTTTCTTTTTAAATTTATTAATATAATAAATTACATTGATTGATTTTTTTAAATGTTAAAACGACCTTGTTTTCCTGGGATAACCCCCACTACGTACTGTATTATCCTTTTTATATATTGTTGGATTTTGTTTAAAATTTTGTTTCGGAATTTTGCATCTATGTTCATGAAAGATATTGGCCTCTTGTTTTCTTTTCTTGTAATGTCTTTGTTTGCCTTTGTTATTAGGGTAATTCTGGCTTTATAGAATGAGTTGGGAAGCATTCCTTCCTCTTAAATTTTCAGGAACAGTTTGTGTAGTATTGCTGTTATTTCTTCCTTAAATGGAGAATTCACCAGGGAAGTCATTTGGGCCTGGAGTTTTCTTTGTGGGAAGGTTTTTAACAACAAAAAAAATTTCTTTGATAGAAATAGGGCTATTCAGATTATCTGTCTCTTCTCGAATGAGCCTTGGTAGTTTGTATTTTTCAAGGAAATTGTCTATTTTACCTAAATTGTTGCATTTATTGACACAAAGTTGTTTATATATTTTCTTAGTATCCTTTTAATATCTATAGAATCTGTACTGATGATACTGCCCTCATTTGTCATACAAGTAATCTGTATCTCCTACAAGTTTATTAGTGTGATTGATTATCTCAAAGAACCAGCTTTGGTTTCATTGATTTTCTCTATTGTTTTCCTGATTTCTATTTCATTGATTTCCACTTTGATTTTTTTATTTCCTTTGACTTACTTGGGGTTTAATTTGTTTTTTTTTTTTTTTAATTTTTTGTTTATTGCAGTAACATTGGTTTATAACATTGTAAAAATTTCAGGTGTACATCATTGTACTTCTATTTCTGCATGGACCACATCATGTTCACCACCAAAATACTAATTACAACCCATCACCACACACATGCACTGAATTATCCCTTTCACCCTCCTCCCTCCCCCCCTCCCCTCTGGCAACCACCAATCCAATCTCTGTCCCTATGTATCCGTCCATTGTTGTCACTATCTACTAGTTAATGAAGGAAATCATACTGTATTTGACCTTCTCCCTCTGACTTATTTCACTTTGCATTATACCCTCAATGTCCATCCATGTTGTCACAAATGGCTGGATTTCGTCGTTTCTTATGGCTGAGTAGTATTCCATTGTGTATATATACCACAGCTTCTTTATCCATTCGTCCCTTGATGTTTTCATTTTCTTCTTTCTTAAGGTAGAAGCTGAAGTCATTGATTTGAGACTTTTCTTCTTTTATAATAATAGGTGTTTGGTGCTAAAAATCTCCCCCTAAGTATTGCTTTAGCAGTATCCTACAGATTTTGAAATGTTGTGCTTTCCTTTCACTCAATTCAAAATACTTTTTAATTTCCCTTTTGATTACTTCTTTGACACATGGGTTATTTAGAAGTATTACCTGATTTCTAAATATTTGAGGCTTTTCTGAGTGTATTTCTTTTATTGATTCCTAATTTAGTCAGAGAACATACTTTGTATGACTTGAATGCTTTGAAACTTATTGAGATTTGTTTTGTGGCCCAGAATAGATCTATCTTGGCAAATATTCCATGTGCACTTGAAAATCATGTATATTCTGCTGTTGTTTGATAGAGTGTTGTATAAATGTCAAGTAGGTCAAGTTGGTTGATGTGGTTTTTAAGTACTTTATATCCTTACTGATTTTAGTCTACTTGTTCTATCAATTATTGAGAGAGGGCTACTGAAATCTTTGACTTTAGTTAGAAATTTATCTATTTTCCCCTGCAGTCCTATCATTTTTGCTTCATATTTTGAAGCTCTGCTATTAGGTGCACGTGCATTTAGGATTGTTATGTCCTGTTGATGAATCAGCTTCTTTATCTTTATGCAATGACCTTCTTTACCTCTGGTAATATTTTTTCCTCTGAAATCTACATTGTGTGATATTAAGATAAACACTCCAGCTTTCTTTCAATTAGTATTAGCATGGCATATCTTTTCCCCTCCTTTTACTTTTAACCTATTCATGTCTTGATATTTAAAGTGCATTTCTTTTATGTAACATATAGCTGAGTCTTGTAATTTTTTTTTAAACCAGTCTGACTATCTCTACCTTTTATTTGGGATGTTTAGACTATTTACATTTAATGCAGTTATCCATAGGATTAAGTTTAAATCTGTCATCTTACTATTTGTTTTCTATTTGTCCTTTCAGTTCTTTGTTCCTCTTTTCCTTTCCTTCTGCCTTTGTTTAGATTAATTGGATATTTTTTATTATTCCATTGTTGGCTTTCTTCTTTGTTGGCTTATTAGCCATAACTCTTTGTTGTATTAGTTTAGCGATTGTTTTAGGTTTTGTGGCATACATCTTTAACTTATCACGGTTTGCCTTCAAGTGACGTTGTATCACTTTACGTGTAAGAACCTTACAATAACACACTTCAATTTCTCTCCTCCCAACATTTGTGCTCCTGTTCTTATACATTTTATTTTTCATATGTTATAAACTCCACATTATATTGTTATTATTTTTGTTTAACCAGTCAATTATCTTTCAAAGAGATTTGAATAAGAAAAGATTCTTATATGTTTACCTATGTATGTAGTTACCATTTCTAATGTTCTTCATTCCTTTATGTAGATTCATATTTCTCTCTGGCGTCATCATTTCCCTCTGCCTGAAGGACTTTCTTTAGCATTTCTTGTAGTGCAGGTCTGCTGGTAATGGATTCTTTTAGGTTTTGCATGTCTTAAGAAGCATTTATTTCTTTTTCATTTTTGAACAGTATTATTGGGTATAGAATTCTAGCTTGACTCTTTTCCCCCTCAATACTTTAACAATGTGGTACCCTATCACTGTCTTCTCACTTGCGTTGTTTCCAATGAGAAATTTGATGTCATCCTATCATTGTTCCTTGATATATATGTGTCTTTTCCTCTAGTTGCTTTTAATATTTCCTCTTAAAAACTTTTAATCACTGGTTTAAATAATTTGATTATGATGTGTCTTGTTCTAGTGTTCTTTATGTTTCTTTTCTTAGGGCTCATTGAGTTTCTTGGATCTGTGGATTTATAGTTTTTATCAAATTTGAAAAAATTTTAGCCATTATTTCTTCAAATTTTTTTCTGGCCCTTCTCCCTCTTTTATCTCCTTCAGGGACTCCACTTATAGTTATATTAGGCTGAAATTGTCCCACAGCTCACTGAAACCTGTTTTTTTTTTTAATTCTCTTTTCTCTTTTTGTTTTATTTTGGATAGTTTTAACTTCTATGGTTCAAGATCACTACTCTTTTCTTCTGCTATTAATCTACCATCAGTCCCATCCAGTGTATCTCACACATTGTGGTTTTCATCTCTAGAAGTTTGATTTGGGTCTTTTTCAATATCTTTCATGTCTCTGTTTAGCTTTTTGAACATAGGAATACACTTCTAATAACTATTTTAATGTCCTTATCTCTTTATTCTAACATCTGTGTAAGTTATGAGTTGGGTTCAATTGATTGATTTATCTACTCATTATGAGTAATATTTTTTTGCTTCTTTGTTTTCCTGGTAATTTTTAATTGGATGCCAGACCATTAATTGCCTTAATGGTTACTCAGTATTTTTGTATTTCTGTAAATATTCTTGAGCTTTTTTCTGGGACCAGTGAAGTTATTTGATCCTTTTGGGTTTTGCTTTTAAGATTTGTTAGGCAGAACCAGAGTTGTGCTCAATCTAGGGCTAATTATTCCCCACTACTGAGGAAATGCCTTCTCTTCCCAATGCTCTGTGAATCCTGAGATTATTCAGTCTGGCTGGTGGGAACGGGCACTCTTCCCAGCCCTGTGTGAGCACCGTTACTCTCAATCTTTTTGAATAGTCCTTTCTCTGACCCTGGGTGGTTTCCTCACACATATGTGCTGACCAGTACTCAGTTGAAAGCTAGAAGGAGACCCTCTGCCAATATTTGGATCTCCCTCTCTGTGTAGTTCTCTCCTCTCCAGTATTCTGTGAACTCCCTTGTATACTTTGCCAGCAGATAGAGGTCTGTGGTGGAGAAAACGCCAGCATTTCTGACATCAGTAGACTTGTCTCAGCCAATGATTGTGAAAACAGAAGCAGAAAGGATTACTAAAAGGAAATCTGATTTCAGCCTACTAAAAGTCCCTATCTAACATTAAAAGCAATCATTTCTTTGAAAAGAATTATAATCTGTGGGCTGTGTTAATGCTCCTGGCTATCCATTATTCAATGAGCTCCTTGCTGTTGCTACAGTTATGTGTTATTTAGGCAGTAATTAATGTTCAATGGGGAGCAAATCTTGGTGGGTATAGATTGAAGCTTTAGAGTGAAAAAAGGAACTGGTTAGATCCTAGGTAACTTGGTGACTCTTGATCTCTGCTATGGTTCCAGACATCTAGACAGATGTACCCTGCAGTTTTACATGTCCTCCACCCCTGGGATTCTGACTGGCTGTATGGGGTGGTAATGGGAGGAGATGAATGTGGACCATGAGGAGGCTAGTGCCAGGTAATAGACAGCCTGTTTCCCACCCACAGGTGCCTTTTTCATCCCCTACCTCATCTTCCTCTTTACCTGTGGCATTCCTGTCTTCCTCTTGGAGACAGCGCTGGGCCAGTACACTAGCCAGGGAAGCATCACAGCCTGGAGGAAGATCTGCCCCATCTTTGAGGGTGAGTAGCTCTGTACCTGATTCCAGGGTATCTGCACTAGTGGTTATAAACTTTATTTGGAAAGACTGGGTGGCTTAGCTGCAGTGCTAATTGAGATAAGACCTTGTGTCTTTATGTTAAACCCTCCAGTGTGAGCTAATCACCATCCATCAGAGAATGGAGGAGAAGAGGGGGATGAGGATGGATGGCTTTAGAGTGCAAAGCTATTTTAGCTATATATTTAAAAAAGGTAACAATGATTTTGCATTTTTCAAAATATTTCAAAATATTTAATCAATTACAAAACATTTTAAAATAGAATTTTAAATGAGAAAAAATATCGTTAATAATTCTACTATCTTGACACAATAGCTGTTTAAAATTTAGAATGTTTTATTTCAAAATTTCTCCCTCTATAGGATTTTCTTTAAGTTTCTATTTTGAAATAATTATATATTCACAGAAAGTTGCAAAAACAGTACAGGGAGGTCACGTGTACCCTTCACCCAGTTTTCCCCAATGGTAACATCTTACATAACTATAGAACAATATCAAAACCTGGAAATGACATTGGTACTATCCACAGACCTTATTCAGATTTCACCAGTGTGCATGGACACTCATGTGAATGTGTATGTATAATTCTGTGTAATTTTATCACGTGTGTAGATTTGTGTAACCGTCATCACAATCAAGATACAGAACTGTTCCATCACCACAAAGATCTCTGTCATACTGCCCCTTTATAGTCATACCCTCCCCTCCCTAACCCTAACCTCTGGCAACCACTAATTTGTTCTCTATCACTATAATTTTGTCATTTTGAGAATGTTATATAAATGGAAACATTCGGTATATAACCTTTTGAGACTAGCTTTTTCACTCAGCATGATGCCTTTGAGATCCATCCAGCTTGTTCATGTATCAGTAGCTCATTCCTTCTTATTGCTGAGTACTATTCCATGGTGTGGACATACCACAGTTTATTTAATCATTCACCCACTGAAGAACATTTGGGTTGTTTCCAGTTTGGGGGGTTTTGTTTCATTCTTTCTTTCTCTGTCTATAGAGTTTACATATCTATTATATGGAATATATACAGATGGTGTCTCTGTTTTCAGTTAGTATTATTTTCCATTTTCTACACAACAATCATTTAATGATTGCATGAACTTCTGTCAAGTAGATATGTCATAATTTACTTAACAGTTCCCTGTTTGGGGCTTTTTGCTTATTTTCAATTACTTATAAAATTGTTATATTATGCTATCATGTATATTTGTTGAGATAGCTTTTCCCCCCTTTTTGGGAATTATTTCTTTAGGATAAATTCCCAGGATTAGGATCAAATGGACAATCAACTTGATATCTCTTGATCTGGCTTATTAAATTGCCCTATGGAAGTGTTATACTGTCTTACATGTCACTAGACATGAGTAAGCATCTTTCCCCCATATCTTTAACAAGGGGGAAAATTGTCTGCACATTGGAATCACCCGGAGACCTTCAAAACATCCTGAGGCCTGTACCCCAGCCCCAGAGATTATGATTTAATTGATCTGGGGTCTGGTCTGGGCTTTAGAATTTTTAAAATATCTCCAGGTAATTCTGATATGCAGACAAGTTTGGAAATCACTGAGTTAGACTATTTGTAAAAAATTTCACTAGGGCTGTAGACACAGAATGGTACCTCATTGTTTCATTTTGCACACTTGCAATTATTAGGGAGGCTCTATTTGTGTTTTCTCATATGTGAATTGTCTGTTCCTGCTCTTAACATATGTTTTTATATTTCAGAAACATATCAGACTAATCCCAGGGAATATTAACTATTGGAATCTTGAAGTTAGTCTTATATATTTTAAAAATAACTTTGAATCAGTGACCTTTCAGAACCAATAAAGATGAAAGTGCGCAGGAAGCCGGGTAGTGCAGCAGAAGCAGGGAGGAAAGTCCCCTCTGGGCCTGAGAAGGGCTGTTGGGGCCGCAGCACACTCCTGGCTGCTGGGGAGGGAGGGGCGGGAGCCAGGAGCCGAGGCCCCAGCACTTCTTGCTTTAGGACACTGACAGTGCATGCAAACCGTCTCCTACACAGGGATGGGTAGTGTGTGAGAAATCCATTCTCTGTCCCTAGCCCAGTTCTGTCGTTTTCATCCTCAGGCATCGGCTACTCCTCCCAGATCATCGTCGTCCTCCTCAACATCTACTACATCGTCGTCCTGGCCTGGGCCCTCTTCTACCTCTTCAGCAGCCTCACCACCCAGCTCCCTTGGGGAAGCTGCCACCACGAGTGGAACACGGGTAGGTCATCTCCAGAGAGTCCATCTCCTTCTGCTGCTCTGCTGCATTCGCCAGGCATGGGATTGTCCCTGTATCCTGGGGACCCAATCCCCAGCCTTAACTTGGGACTCACTAGAAAATCTGCCAAGTAGATCATGGAGATCGTATATCAAAGATAAGAGCGAGATTTCACCAGCATCACAGGCAAAAGGTCACAGACTTTTAAAAACGAAATTCATGTATTCAATTAATGTATTATGAATTCATGTATTATGTGAGTAGAATTTACTTCTTTTTTTGTAGTTTAGCCATTTATTTATTTTGATTTGAAATGTGGTTTGTTTGATATATACATATTGTTTATTCATTTATTTGTTTCTCATGTCTTCTTTCTGATACTTTTTTAGGTCTTTCCAACTCACACTTCATTTGGATTTAACCAGGGCATAAGCTGTTTTGTATGTCATCAATATAATTTATAACAGCAATTAATTTTCTCCTGTATTTATAAGACTACATGTGATTTTCTTATAAGACTACAAGAGCTACCTATGGTCATAGAACTACTGAGTCTAATGAATTGAAAGTAACAAAAAGTTAAAAATACCTGGGGTAGTGCTGCCTGAAAGAATCTTCTGTGATGATGAAAATGTTCTCTGTACTATCCGATATGATAGCCACTAGCTACAAGTGCAACTGAGCACTTGAAATGTGGCAGGTGTGTGTGAGAAATTGAATTTTTAAATTTTTATTTACTTTTAATTAATTTAAATATAGAAAGCCACAGGTGGCTAATGGCTACCCTATTGGACGGCAGAGATGAAAAGCATATTGGACACTGTCTTGTTTGGATCCTCAGCACTACATCTTGCTCTCAGTGTCCAAATACCTCTCAGTGCCTGTCAGTGAGCCCCTACCAGTGCCATGATTAATTTTTTTTTGTTCAGACAGGTTACTCAGTTCTGAACTGGAGTTGGAACTCTTCGCTTGCTAAGGAAGCATGTTTTTGCAATGTTGAACATGCTATTCAAGGCCCCTCTTGCCCTCAAACTTTATGCTCCCTTTCCAGGCATTCCCTTGCCAGTCTCTGCCACCACTTTATTCTGCCATTTTTTCAAGTGAAAAGTCAAATCTTGGGGGTACCTCCCTTGACACCCCAAATTCATTAGGTTCTTCTCTTGTGTATCTGGTGGTACCGGCACTGAGCCCTGGCCCTGCCGTGCCGTTCACCTCGCTTGCTTTCTGTTTGTTGGTCTGGTTTTCCCGTGGACGAGTAAGCTCTCGAGGGCAGAAGATGTGTCCATCTCGGCAGCCTTTGTGCCAGCACCCTGCAGCTACGTCATGAGGGTTCAGGAATGGTGGTCGAATGAGTCAGGCTTTAAATGTCTGTTTTATTCTAATATTTTCTTCGTATATTTTTCCCTCCTTCCTTTCATCTATGTGCACTGAAATCATCCTTGACAACCAGCTCGTCAGATGGTGATTTTATCCAGATCTCAGTGGAGTTCCTCTTGTAAAGATTTTGTGAATTTTTGGAGGTCTGGGTCTTTTGCTTCAGGGCGTTATGAGGCCTGTCTGCCTTTGGGTTGCCTGGGGGGTCTCTGAGACAATTCTGAGGCAAATTCAATACCCAAGTCTTTTCCTTCTTGACATTTTTGACATTTCTCCTAGTGAGTCTGGTTTTCCTCAGAGCCTAGCATCTTGAATAGTATAGGACATCCTGTCCTGTCCTGTCAAGATGAAACAACGCTTTTCTGGATGTGCTGAAGCTTCAAGGAAAGTGATATGGTTTAGAGAAAAGAGCACTCAACTGGCATTCAATCATTCAAGAGATATTTATTGAGCTCCTAGTAAATGCCAGGCTCTGTTCTAAGGACTGGGGAAATGGTCACGTACAAAAACGAAGATCCTGGGGCCAGGCCCGTGGCGTAGCGGATAAGTGCATGCGCTGCGCTGCGCTGCTGGTGGCCCAGGTTCGGATCCCAGGCGCGCACTGATGCACTGCTTATTGGGCCATGCTGTGGTGGCGTCCCACATAAAGTGGAGGAAGATATGCACGGATATTAGCTCAGGGCCTGTCTTCCTCAGCAAAAAAAAAAGGAGGATTGGTATGGATGTTAGCTCAGGGCTGATCTTCCTCACCAAAAAAAAAAAAAAATAACACAACACGAAGATCCCTGTGCCCTCATGGAGTTTTCATTCTAGTGGCAAGAGAACATAAACAAGATAAACAAGTAAAATGTATCATGTTAGAAGTGCTGTGGAGAAAAACAAAATAGGGAGGAGGGATTGGTAATTTTAGGGGTGTGGGGTATATTTTAAATAGGGTCATCAGGGAAGGCCTTACTGAGAAGAAGACACTTGAGTAACACTCTGAAGGCTGGGGGGCAGTGAGCCATTGAGACAGCAGGGGGCAAACATCAAGTGCGAAGGCACTGTGCCTATCGCATCCAGGGAACAGCAGGGTTGGAGGAGCTGGAGATGAGTGGGGGAGCAGTGGGAGACGGGGTCAAAGGGGATGGGGGTAGATTGAATAAGGCCTTGCAGGTGGCTATAGGTGTTTGGGCTTTTTTCCTCTGAGTGGGATAGGAAACCCATTGGAGGGTTTTGAACTGGGGCATGATGTGAAGTGACTTAAATTTTAACAAAATCACTCGCACCACTGTATGGAGATTTGACTAGGGAGGCAAGAGTAGAAATGGAGGCCAGTTAGGGAGCCATGAGATGATGGTGACCTGCACCAGGGTGGTGGTAGAGGCGATTATGAGAAAGTTCAGATTCTAGATATTTTGAAGGTTGAACATACACAATTTGCTGAATTGGATTCTAGCCCTCAGTCACTTATAAGCTAGGACAGACCATTTCTAAGAAGATTTACTTTCTTGTGTGTACAATGGGAAAAACACTATCCATCTTAATATTTCCCAGGACTATTATACTAATAAAATGTAAAAAAGAATGTGAACACTCTTTGTGAAACACCAAAGTCATATACGGATAATTCAAGAGCCACTACTTATTGAGCACTTCACGGAGATATTTTCATTTAATCTCTTTTTCAGTCCTACAAATGTACATTCTTATGTACATTTTAGAGACGAGAGAAGTGAGGCTTAGAGACCCACACAGTGAATAACCAGAGGGTCAGGATTCAAGCCAGAGCTTTCGGACCTTGTACCTCTGCTCTTAGCCACTCTGTTACATCACTTCCTCAAACGTTGTGACTTGATACAGGCCAGTTACCTGGAAATATTTGTGTACTTTGAACCAGACGGCATGCAGAGCATCTTTCCTGTTGCTGTGTGATCATGCTTTAATAAGAATATGTACCCAGGGCCTGCCCCGTGGCTTAGCGGTTAAGTGCGCGTGCTCCGCTGCTGGCGGCCCGGGTTCGGATCCCAGGCGTGCACAGATGCACCACTTCTCCGGCCATGCTGAGGCCGCGTCCCACATACAGCAACTAGAAGGATGTGCACCTATGACATACAACTATCTACTGGGGCTTTGGGGGGAAAATAAATAAATAAAATTATTAAAAAAAAATGTACCCAAACATTTATAAACCCATGTGTAAAAGTGTGTGGGAGAGGGTGAGGTGGGTTTGTTGAGATTATTATGTGTTTGAGGATATTTTGTATAGACAACTTCTGCCCAGTTCGTTTCAGATACCTTACTTCCCATTCTCCTAAAATTTCCCTCCACTCTCTCTAGTCATGCCAGGTATTGACTAATGATCCTTCTCTTTCTTCCTTCCCTGGGACCCATGGGTAGAACACTGTGTGGAGTTCCAGAAGAACAATGGCTCCCTGAATGTGACCTCTGAGAATGCCACCTCTCCTGTCATCGAGTTCTGGGAGTAAGTGATGCCCTTTCCCCATCCCACTGTGGGCTGTGTGTTTGAAAGAAGGGCCTGGGGATGGGTTCATGCAGTGATGACTCTCAGTGGACAGCAGGGGAAGAATTTCCGTTTCCTTCTTTGGTGGCCCTCTCACCTAAGTGGTTTTTTTCTGTTGTGTCTGTATTTGTGGTTAATGCAGAACTGTTTCAGAGATGAGAATTTTGCAACTCTCCTCAGGCTGTGCCTGCCTTTCCTCCCCATGTGCCCGCCCGCATGTACATAGTGCATGTGCACGTGTGTTCACACGCCTAACTGCCCTCCTCTCTTCAGCTGCTTGTGCATTGCCTCTTATCTGCCCCTCCCCCAAATACTGATATTCATCTAGGGCATGATTCCTCATGTCAAAACATCCTAAAACCCTGGTTGAGAAAATATGTGTTTGCACCTCCTTCTCTAGGTTAAATTGGTACTCAGCTTCCCAGAACAAACTTCCAACAGTTTCTATTTGCCTCCTTTTATATCTACCCCCATCTCTGGGCAAAGGAGAGCCTCATGGATCTGAGTGAAAAGAGCTGAGAAGCTTCTGGACAAGACCCTGGAGGCATGGCTCCACTGCCCAAGACCCGCGGGCTACAAAATTGAGGCTGACAGCAAAAGTGGAGCCCGGCTCAACCTTCTTTCCCCAGGAGGCGGGTCCTGAAGATCTCTGATGGCATCCACCACCTGGGGGCCCTGCGCTGGGAGCTGGCCTTATGCCTCCTGCTTGCCTGGGTCATCTGCTACTTCTGCATCTGGAAGGGGGTCAAGTCCACGGGCAAGGTCCGTGCTGGAGAGCTCCTGGCCCCTCCCATCCCAGGACTCCCTGCCTCACTGGGGGCTCAGTCACTTAGGAGTTCCCTAAGTTGTAGCCTAGTCAGGGATGGGAGGGAACGACCCAGCAAAGATTTTATGTGACGCCTTTCCTTGATTCTGTGCCTCTCCTAGATTCAATCCCATGTCCTTCTGTGTTTGGGAATTAAATGGAAGAGTGAGAGAGAGAAAGGCAGGAAGGACACTTCCAGAGGAATTTGATCTTGGAAATATACCACATGTGTGGGCACATTGCAAATTGAACACAGCTCATGGCTCCCTATTTCATACAATAGTTCTTTGGAAAAAGAATTCCATTAAGACTGTTAATTTCAAAATGATTCTCAACCAACCCAAGAATTTTGGGGGACTCTTTGCCCTAGAGTGTATGAGGCATTAGAGGGCATTCTGATTTCTTCCGGATTCTTGCCCTGGAGGCCTCTGACAAGGCTTTCTTCCTAATCTGGCTGCCTGGTTGTGCTAAGCTTGTAAGCTCTGTGAGGACAGAGATCATGTGTTACAGATCTTTTCATACCTGACAACCCTTACCATAATTCCAAGCACATTTGTTGGGAGAATGCCCAAGTTCATTCAGTCAGTCAACAAATATTTACTGGGTATGTGTCAGGGGGAGGGCGAGTGCTTTCAGCTGGAGGGAGGAAGGGAGAGGGGAGGTTGTGGCTTATGGCAGAGGGGAGATGAAACTCAACAACTGTGGGGTGAGAGGGAGGGAGCAGAAGAGGAACTCCCTTGACCTCTTCCATAGGTGGGGAGCTCCTGCCTCCTGCCTCTGCTGCTGGGTCTCCAGCCCCCTCCTTCCTAACTCACAAGTTCTTTGTCTGTCATCTGCCCCTTGGCCAGGTGGTGTACTTCACAGCCACATTCCCTTACCTCATGCTGGTCGTCCTGTTAATTCGAGGGGTGACACTGCCTGGGGCAATTCAAGGGATTCAGTTTTACCTGTACCCAGACCTCACGCGTCTGTGGGATCCCCAGGTAAGAAGCCACAGATGCGGGGAATCACGAGGCCCTGAAGGTGCTCAAGCTACAGGCCTTCCTCGTGCTCAGCTCAGGCGTCCCTGCTCCTGGCCCGACCCTAAGGTGTCTGTGGTCTGTGTGTGGGTCTCCAGACATCTGTTAGCAGCTGTTTGCGGTCTCTCTCCTTGGTTCACAGCTGCCAGAGAATCCTGCCAGGAGGCCCTGAGGCCCTAGTAATATTTCTCAGGGGCCACAATATGTCACTAACAGCCTTTACTCACATGCTGAACCCCTTTCCCCACATCTGCCCAGCCGGTTTTTGCATTTTTTTTCTTGGCAAGCTCATTTCACACGGAGCTTCCTCTATTTCTTGACCCTCCACCAGCCCCCTCTGGTTCCCTCCCTCTGGCCACGTGGCCCATTCCTAGGCCCCAGTTTCCCAGCCCCTCCCGGCACTGGCTGGGCTGGTGTTGAGTTTCCTGTCGGTTGTCCAGAGGTCACTGCCTCTTCCCTCCCCTCTGGCCCTTCCTTCACAGTCCACACTCCATCTGCTACAGCCAGCTTCTCGATGGCCCTGTGCAGGGAGGGGCGGTGCTGCTTGCTGACTGGAGGGGTTTGTAAAGCAGGGCCTGAAATAAGAAGCCATTGCCTCTGATGGGTTTCTTATCTTCTCCTGTTTGGCAGCCATTTTGAAAGCTGGCAAAGCCAGGAGGTGTGGAGGGCCGGAGGGGAGCGTGGGTAAGCTCCACCCCAGAGCCCCTAAAATGTGTTACCCAGCTACGTGCCCTGCCTCTGCCTCCCTGGCACAGAGGTCGCCCTCCCTGGGGAGTGTGTGTACAATGTAGAGATCCTCCCCTTGGGTGCTGGAGGAGGCTCTCTGTGTCTATGAAAGGGGCCATGAGGAGACTTCGGGCGGGAGGCTCTCGGCACAGTGAAGACAAACAATTGTATGGCTTTTCAAACATTTTCAATAGTAAGGCACCAGCACATTTGCTGAAATTGCTGAGAGGGAGCAAGAGAAAAGGGTGTGACACACACTTCCACAGTGCCCTCTGAGGCAGGGGGACTCAGTTCGCACAGAGGCAATGACTCCCCCTTGTGCAGAATTTGGGGTGATCCAGAAGTTGAATTGTTCTCGTCTCCCAGCCACCCCTGGCAGAGTTATGAGTTCTTCCATCCTGAGTTTTACTGGGGCTGCCGTGGCTCCCAGAGGCCAGACCACTCCTATTCAGAAACTTCCCCATGCAGTCAAGTAGCCTTGGTCCTTGGTATTTCTCAATGATCTTCTGATGGGATGTGAGTTTATCCTTCCCCTCTCCCATTTCTTAGACATACTAGAGATACGGGTTGCTGCTGCATCATCTCCACGTGGGGCACAGGGGCTGTAGTCAGGCTCTGGAGCCAAACTGGAGAACCATAGCTTTTGAAGCTAGAAGGACCCCAGAGATCATCTAATGCAAACTCCTCGTTGCACAGATGAGCAGCCGAGGTCCAAGGTCACACAGCAAGTCAGTGGAGGCCAGACAAAGCATATTTTTATTTTCTGAGCCCTTTGACTTATCTGCAACCAAAGGGTTGTAATGGAGAATAGGTAGCAAGCAGGAGGTTGTGGGGGTAGCAGGCTTGAGGGAAGGCTTTGAAGGCCAGGTGTGGAGTTTGGCTTGGATCCCCTGTGCAAGAGGGAGCCATTGTGGTTCTGGAGCAGCAGAGGTGTGAACCAGGGGCTGAACTACCAAGCCTGCCTTTGTTTGGGGTTCAGGCTGGGAAGGAGGGGACATGATCAGGCAGGGGGCCAGGCAGGTAGGCTGGAAGAGAAAAAGGAGAGAGGGGTCCCGTTTTCTGGAATTGATTTATGGCTTCTGTGATCAATGATCAATGCCTTGTTTGTCCTGATCAGCTGTTTATAGCTAAGAACGATTGAGTACTCACTCTGTCCCTGGCATTGTTAAGAGGTTTACATGCATTATTTCAGACAATCCTCACAGCAGATCAATGAGGTTTCCCCATTTTATAGATAGGAAATTAAGGCCTAGAGAGCTTAAAGAATTGGATGCCTGCAACTGGCATCCAATTCTGAACGACGACGAATCCTACATGCTTTATGGTCTCTTGACGGCAAAGTCCCTGTCTACTCATCTTTGTTTTTCTCCCAGCTCATTCATTCAGTAAACATTTGTTGAGCATCTATTATGTGCCAGGTCTGCTCAAGGTGTGGGTTTGTTATATACTAGTTTCCACAAATATTAAGAAGGGGGACCAGATAGCCTTCAACTCTGAGAGTTAATAAAGCCATAATTCTGTGTCTGGGTTACTGCAGGGAACAAAACCTCTTTTAATCTCCAGGATACCATCCTTCCAACCCCAGCCAGCTGTACACTGTGCGGGGGGCATACGTCTTCCAAGTCCTCTGAGGCCGTGGAGAAGGAGATGTGTCAAGAGCAGGTGTGGTCGGGCCGGCCCCGTGGCTTAGCAGTTAAGTGCGCGTGCTCCGCTACTGGCGGCCTGGGTTCGGATCCTGGGCGCGCACCGACGCACCGCTTCTCCGGCCACGCTGAGGCCGCGTCCCACATACAGCAACTAGAAGGATGTGCAACTATGACATACAACTATCCACTGGGGCTTTGGGGAAAAAAAAGGAGGAGGATTGGCAATAGATGTTAGCCCAGGGCCAGCCTTCCTCAGCAAAAAGAGGAGGATTGGCATGGATGTTAGCTCAGGGCTGATCTTCCTCACAAAAAAAAAAAAAAAAAAGCAGGTGTGGTCCTGAGCTTCTGAGCAGCCTTATTAGCTGTCTGGTCCTGGTCTCATGCTGAAGCTAGGGCTTTGTCATCAGGAACAGAGCAACACCTGCAGGGTGGGATGCCCCTGCCAGAGCCCTAATTGAATGTAGTTGGCACTCCCCAGAAAGCGTGATAATTCCAACTGGCATTTGCATGGCACTTGAGAAAGGTGCAAAATTCCTGCTAGCCAACACAAAGACCGAAGACGCCTCTCTCTGCCAAGTCCTCAGTCTGGTAGCAGGGAGCCAGGCCGAGACAATGCTGGGTTTATCTCGCTCCCTCCCTCCTTCTGTCAAGCTTGTTGGGTGGCGGGCAGGTTGCGGCCTCTCCTGGTGTGCCCCAGGCCTCGTCTCTTTCACATGGGCATGGCCCCTGGAGACTCCAGACTCATTGGTGCCGTGTGTGCTTTACTCGGGCCCTCGTTTCTCTCCCTCGCCCTGACCCTCTGCCTGTTCTGCTGCACTTTGGTAGATCGATAAGGGCAGGGGGTAGTGGGAAGCGGGGAGGAGAGGTTCCCTGGGTGCTTGTTGAACCCTTTAAAAAAGTCTCCATGTTAAGCTATTCTAACAAAGGGTTTGTGTAGGGAGGAGGTTGGGACCATTGATTGGAATGAGTCCTTTTATTTTGATATCGTACATTGAAATCTATGGGACCTTACTGTCCCTGGAAGGTGAGTTGCTTTTTTAAAATAATAGCAACAACAAACAGCAGCAAAAGCGAACACATTTACTATGTGCTTATTACTGCCAGGCGCTTTACTGAGCGCGACACGGTTTAATCCTCACGCTGACCCCTGAGTTAGGGGTTAGTCTCATTTTACAGACGAAGAAACTGAAGCTTAGAAAACTTAAGAAATTTGCCCCAAACCACAAAACTAGCAAGTGGGGGAGCTTGGGTTTCATCTCAAGTAGTCTTTTGGAGTCTGCTGTCTTAATCACCATAATAGACATTTCCAAATAATATGAATTATTTGAGAGTTTTAAGGGCTGCTTTTTATTGTTCCAGAATTATTCCAGAAGGTGGGGTAGGGAAATAATATTTATTTATTTGTTAGGCATTTTACATACATTATTTGTTATTCTACCCATTTTTCTGACATGAAAAGTGAAATTCAGAGCGGTTAAGTGACTTTGCCTAAGATCACACAGCTAGTAATTAGTAGAGTCGGGATTTGAACCAGTTCAGTTTGACTCCACAGCCCAGGCTTTTTCCGTTACACACTACTGCCTTCCTAAAACAGTGACTATGACAATCCTTGGGGTTGGACTCAAAGTTGAAAACATCTTTCCTGGATCTCGTAAAGGTCTCTTTCTCCCTCTGTCCCCCGAAAGACCTCTTCTTTTGCCCACACTTCGCCAAGTGTTTTTCACACTTGTTTTATTCTTGGTCAGTCTTCTGCCTCAGCCAAAGACACACTGGAGCTTTGTTCTAGAAACCACAGCTCCTGGAATAGTCAGGGAGTGGGTCTCCCGTGGTGGGAAACAGAACAGCTTGCTCTGCTTGTTCCTTCAGCCCTTCCTCTGACCCCATTCCTTTCCCCATCCCAGCAGGCTTGTCAGGCAGCAGCTGTGCAGAGAGCTGGGGCTTGCCAAGCTCCCAGTGAGGGGGCTTTAGTCAAGGGCACCGTATCTGACCTTTGCACTCTGAACTCTCAGCCCTCCTGCTGCATTTTCCTCTGTTCTCTTTAACCTCTTCTCCCAACTCAATCTTAGTCTGTCCCCCTCAGGGTGAGGTGAACTGCCAAGTCACAGATTTTCTTATTTTTTCTTCCCAAGCCCAAGTTTGCAAAACTTCATAACCATAGGATTGGTGCCCCCTGCCTGCTGTGGGCAGCCACAAAGTGTCTCTGGGCACTTGGGGGTCTCCCTGCTAACTTGTGGGTCACTCTAGGCCCAGTGAGCACACACCCAGGGCTGGGGCAGGCAGACTCTTGGGTTGTATCCTGGCTGACCTGTTTGGGAGAGATCCCCTGATCTCCTGACCCGGAAGTACCTGAGTCCCGAGGCATGTGGCATCTCTCCCCAGCCCTCACATCCCTGAGCCTGGATAGATCCTTTCTGTATGAGCTCAGAGCCTCTTGCTGCTCTTGAAGCTGCCCACAACCTACTGAGTGAGGCAGGAATGAAATAGAACAGAGTGACCCTCAGACCAGAGGTCACTGAGTTTTCCTGAGATGACTATCCTCACTGTATCTGTGGGGCAGAGTTTTGGGAAAGGATGTGAGGCATATTGAAGGAGCAAACAGACTACCCAAGGCATCTCCTCAAACTTTTGTGGCATCAGGCTGAATTTTGTCGGCACTCCCCTGCCTGTCCTCAGGTCCTTTCTTCTTTCCTACCCTTTCTTTCTCTATCTTCTGAAACAAGTCCTGAAACCCCCTCTCCTTTCCCCATGATAATTTTCCCTCAAGTTGAAAAATTTCTTTGGTGTTTCCATCCTTCTGTGCCATTTCCTTGCTAGCCCTGGCCCCTTCTGGATCTTCCTCTGTGCTCCTTGCCACTGGTGGCAACCCCTGCCTCACCGAATGCCTTGGGGATGGGACTCACAGTGAGCAGAAGGGACAGAAGGCTGGAGACATTCTCCCCTTTTCTTTACCATCTTTCCCTGCTCTGTTCCCGTTCCCACAGAAATGGAACTATAACAAGAAGAGTGAGTGCCCTGGGTGGCTCCCTGATGCCAGTTCTCAGGGGCCATAGGGCAGTGATTCCCACATCTGGCTGTCCATTAGGATCACCCAGAAGCTTTGAAAATAATACAGATTTCTGGGTTCTTCTTCAGGCCTAGAAAGTCAGTGTTTCAACTGGGGATGCTTGCTGAGAAATCGATGTGATTCTGATGTAGTCAGCTTGCCCGTAGGTTGCTTGCACCCACTACAATGCTGAGGAAAATGGGCACCCTGCTGGGGGTGAGTGTGACGAGAGAGAGCAAAGGAGGTTGAAGGTGGGGGCGATGGTTAGGGAGGCAGGGAGAGACAGGTAAGGGACTGAGGAGCCTTGGACAGAAAGAAGCTGAGGCTTTGCTGTGTGTGGGAATTTGGAGCTTGATGTCAGTGGAAGGAAAGCAGTGGCCTGTTTGGGGGCTACTGGGGCAGGGCTAGGCAAAAGACAAGAAATGGGAACCAGAGCAGTGTTAGGACACTGCCTGGCGACGTCTGCGTCCATAGTTTGAGCTCCCTTGTGGTGCTCACGTCCTCTGAAGGCAGGATGTGCCTGGGGAGGGTCTGTAGCCCCAGGACCCCACCTCCTGCAGATCTGCAGGGTTGCCTAGTCCTGTTCGTCTTGATGTTCTTTCTCCTTGGGATGTTGTTCTAGCTGTTAAATCTAAATCATAACATGCACAGGCTCGGGAAGCCAGCTGAGATAATAACAGTAACAACCATACCCTGTGTTTAGCTGGAGAGCTATTTTCCCCCCGAAGAGTACAAAGCCCTTTACAGATACATTTCTGTGCGTCCTCTTGACTTTTCGTGAGCTGAGGATTACTCTTCCTGGTTTTCAGCCAAAGATTTTGAGGCATGAGGGGCAAAGCTACATGCTCGTGATGGCACTGACATTAAGCCCATATCCCTAGGGATCCTGTCCCTGGATTCCTCCCAAATTGGCCACACTGCCAGGAGAGCCTAGGAGCGGGGAACGTGGAGGCAGAAGCCAGCGCTGTGTCTCCATTATAAACTCTGGGAGCTAGGCCTCGCTTAGTCCTAGAGCACCCTCCTGCCCTCCCACCCATCTCCACCACGGGTCCTTCAGCTTTCTTCTGCGAATGCCTAATGCCTGTGCCATCCTGGTGGTGCCCGAGAAACTCCATCTAGGGCTCCGCGTAGTAGAGCTCATTGGGATGGCGGGGCTGCAGGGGCACCTGCATGGGCTGAGAGCAGGCTTCTCGCCATCCCTAGCCAGAGCCTGCTCAGCCATGGGCCTGTGTGCTCCCATGGAGCCCAGATGACCTGGCTTGCCTGGGGTGCAGCTTTCTTGCCTTTTCCCTATGTAGGTGTGGATGGACGCAGGCACCCAGATCTTCTTCTCCTTCGCCATTTGTCTAGGGTGCCTGACAGCCCTGGGCAGCTACAACAAGTATCACAACAACTGCTACAGGTGATTGGGGGAGTGGGGCTGGAGCCACAAACCCCCTCTCTATACTGTCCCTGCAGCCGTGCTAGATCAGGGGTGACTTGGAGGGTGCCCCAGCTCATGGATTTGCCTACTCCATACCCATCTTCACCCCACTTTCCAATGCCTCAGAGCTACCAGAGCTGAAAGGAGCCAACTGTCGCATGGGCAGGGGGATTGCTTCCAAAAGGATGGGATGGTTGTGGGTGGCTGGGAAACCACAGCAGGGGCCCAGGCCCCTGGCTAATTGAGAGGTTAGTAGGCTCAGGAGTGTAAGAAAGCCTGAGAAGTAGTTAATAATGTGTGCAGTGGAGCCTCCGTCTTGCCTCTTTGTACATTTGCCCCAGCGAACACTGAATCCTTACCCATTTTTACTTCATCCCTCCCCTATCTCATGTCCCCTCCCAAAGGTTCCCTCCAGTCTGCCTGGTTCATATCAGAGAATTTAAGTCAATTTTAATATTGGCTAAAAAAAATCATTATGCATTTCAAAATCAAATTTAGGTGAGTAAGAATTATTTGTTGCTTGGGGTTATCCATGCCCGTATCCTCTACGTTAGCATGCCAGACTGAATTGTGTCAGAGTGGTAGTGTCCCAAGAGGTGTGGTGGCAGTATGGTAGGGAGGGGAAGCTGTGTGGCAGTTTGTAATTTTGGGGTTTATTTTATTTCCTTAGAGCTCCATTCTTTTAGGACTACCTTGATTTATCCCAAGTCTGAGCTAATGGAGTCGGGGGAACCAACCCCTTGAATGCTCACCCTAATTCTGCCAGGCAGCCCCTCTGGCCTCTGTGAAGAGGCCTCTGACCTCTGGGACGAGAGTCTGCCCATCTGCCCGTGCTCCCCTGGGGTTTCTGTTGGCTCCAGACAGGAGGTCTGAAGTCCTGGCAGCCCCTCTCTGACCCTGCCTGTTCCTGCCTTCCCCTCCCGCCCCACAGGGACTGCATCGCCCTCTGCTTCCTCAACAGCGGCACCAGCTTTGTGGCTGGGTTTGCCATCTTCTCCATCCTGGGCTTCATGTCTCAGGAGCAGGGGGTGCCCATCTCTGAGGTGGCGGAGTCAGGTGAGTACTGCTGGGGAGGGCCCAAGGCAGTGGGTTCCGTGAGCTTTCCTTAAACCTTTGCCGCCCGGGATCCAGGGTGTTTCTGTTGTCACTTACGCCGTGGGTGAACTATCGTCACCTCTCAGTGGTGCATCTAGGACTTAAATAGGAATTCCAGCTCAAAGGATGAATGGGTATCCAGTGAACATTTTTCTTCCCACCCCTGGCCTCCAGTTCCTTATCCTGGAGGCAACCAATGCTATCGGGTTCATGTTTATCCTTCCAGAAATAGTTTAGGCATATATGAGAAAAATAATACACACACATGTATACGTACACATTCATACATACATACATTACTATTTCTATTCCTCACACCCCCTTTTAAAAATAACACCCTACATACACTGTTCTGATCTTGCCTTGTTTGGTTCACTTTAAAATGAAGCTCAGAGATAAGTTTATATGGGCACATAGAGTATCCTCCTTTTTTAAGTGACTGCCTTGCCACCACGCAGCATTGTTGTTGTTGCTTTTAAATAAAATCAAGGAGCCGGCCCGTGGCTTAGCGGTTAAGTGCGCGCGCTCCGCTGCTGGCGGCCCGGGTTCGGATCCCGGGTGCGTACCGACGCACCGCTTCTCCAGCCATGCTGAGGCGGCGTCCCACATACAGCAACTAGAAGGATGTGCAGCTATGACACACAACTATCTACTGGGGCTTTGGGGGAACAAAAATAAATAAAATTAAAAAATTAAAAAAAAAAAATCAAGGGCTCGTACCCCAACTGCGTAAGCTGCAAAGGTTCCTCACGCTCTTCTCCTGTGCTTGTGGGCCACTCACGCTCTGTAACAAGACAAATTTTTATCATAGCATTCACAAGCATACCCATTACACAGAGCACCGAGCACTGAGCAACTACCATCACTGATTCTTATTAAAAATGATAATTTTTCACTTTTATTAAGCACTTACTAGATGCCAGGCACTGTGGGAAGCATTATGCCTGTACTAGGCAGTGGAAAGCTGTGAGGCAGTACTGGTATTACCACATCTCACCAGTGTGGGAAGCAGGGTTTTGTCCAAGGTCACTCAGTCCTACCCTTTTCTTCAAAGGAGGCTTACTGTTGATGAACCAAGGTGCTGGCGTTTGAATTTTTTCCTGCTATTTGAGCCAACTGAGGGGAACATTAATTTATTTGAGAGGATGTATGTCAATGGTATTCCGAAATTAATACCAGTTCACTCATTGTAGGGTGACAGAAAAGGCTCCAGGTGCAGAGGTGTCAAACTGGTGGCCTCAGGCCCAATGTAATCTTGGAGGAATTTTGTTTGGGACCATCTATTTTATGGAAACAACACAGCAGTTGCCTAGAGGCTTGATGGCTCCAGGTCTCATCAGGCCCTATCTCTTGCTCATTTTATACTGGGTCAGCTTCACAGATGGACACGGCCTGCCTGGCCCCCGAGCTCTGTTTAAGTTTGAAACCTCTGGTTTGGGGCAATAGATCTGGAGAGTGAGCCCTGAGGATTTGGGGTGGATATAACCCCTTTCTATTTCCCAAAGCCCTTTACACCCACAGACTCCAGGTTTTGTTCCTGCTGATGAGAATACAGTAGGTGGTACCTTGGAAATCTGGGGACCAGGGAACGGTTTGGGTGGCTTCTGCTGGTGAGGATGGTGGTGGTGCTGGTACCTTCCAGGTGAAGTCTCCTCTGGCTCCTATTACTCCATGGCCCACACTGGGAAGCCTTGGGATGGCATGTGGCCTGGAGCTGGCACAGGCACTGAGCTGTGTTCCTCTGCTCCTCTGCTGTAGGCCCTGGCCTCGCTTTCATCGCCTACCCCCGGGCTGTGGTGATGCTGCCCTTCTCTCCTCTGTGGGCCTGCTGCTTCTTCTTCATGGTCGTCCTCCTGGGACTGGACAGCCAGGTATCAAGAGGTGGCCACTCAGAGCCTGAGAGATGAGTGGTGTTTGTGGGCTGGGGGAGGGGAGCAGTGGGCATGAGGTTGAGCTCGATGCCCTGAGGGACTTAAAACAGTTGGGGACTGGGCCGATGTCAGGAGTGGGTGCCCTTCCAGGGACCAAGAGGAGTTTTGAAGGGTGAGTCCAGACCTAACCGTGCAAGGACAGCTCTCGGGACTTGAGACAGGGAGACTGGCTGAGATAGGGCTGATCCTGGGACCAAGAAGCCAGAGCTGGTTGATGGAGCTTATTTTGGGAGCTCTCTTTCCCTCCAATTCTTTTGCCCTCTCATCCAGTTTGTGTGCGTAGAAAGCCTGGTGACGGCGCTGGTGGACACGAAGCCCCATGTGTTCCGTAAGAAGAACCGGAGGGAGGTCCTCATCCTTGGAGTGTCCGTCATCTCCTTCCTGGTTGGGCTGGTCATGCTCACAGAGGTGCGGGTCTGGGAGGCCTGAAGGTGGGGACCCGGTGAGGAGGAGGAGCCAGTGGGCAGCTGCTGCCTGTCAGGGGGAGCAGGCCACTGTGGTTTCGGGTCGCAGGGCAGGCCCCCCAGGCTTCATGCCCTCCTTTCCCCACCGCAGGAAGCACAAAGTAGGCAAGTTCCTCCTCTGGCCTTTGCGCATTGACCACTTTCCTCTGGGGATGGGTGAGGGGTAATTTGGCTCCCCTGTAAGCTAAGAGGTATGAAAAGGATGGTTGAGAAGACTTGCATTAGGAAAAACTGCCTCTCCAGCAAGATCCCATGATATCCCCAGCAGCTGAACCAAGTTCCAGGGACAAACTTCAAAGGAAGAAACGGAACCCTGGGGTGCATGAGATTTTGTGTGATGTCTCAGGGAGAGGGAGGGAGATGGAGCTTGTCAGCTTGATAATGCTAATGACAGCCCCTATCCTGATCTTTCCCCAAAAAAGTGCACACTACGTCTTGGACTTCTGCATCAATCCCTAAATTTTCTCAGGGATAAGCTAACAATAGCTGTGTGGTTCATCTATCTTCCTTCCAAAAACAATAATAAAAAATAATTATCGTCACTATTGCCTAGTGCCTTACAGCTCACAAACTATATTCTATTTTAATATCTGTTTCCTGTGGTCCTCACCGGCTCTGCCCTGTGCCCCAAGGGTGTGAGGCGGGTGGGCTTGGGGTCAATCTGTCTGTCTCCTCTGGATACAGTTCTGGTTTTTGTCTCTTCCTGGGCAGGGTGGTATGTACGTGTTTCAGCTCTTTGACTACTATGCAGCCAGTGGTATGTGCCTCCTGTTCGTGGCCATCTTTGAGTCTTTCTGTGTGGCTTGGGTCTATGGTGAGTGACTCTTCCCCCAGGTCCTAACCCCAGTACTCGCCTCCACTCGAGGGCCCTTAGACAAAAGAGAGACATCCACTGCTCACATCCACCTTTTCCTGGGACTCCTCCCCTACTCAACCCCAAAAATCTCAAGAATCCTAAATTGCTACCATTGGAAGGGCCCTCCAGAGGTTGCCTTGTCCACTCTCTTGGTTATGCCTACACCCAGACCACCCCAGGTGGCCCCATATCTTGTCCTATCCAAACTTTTTCAACCTTTTAACAACTTTGATAATCAGAAAGTTATTGGGGCCGGCCCAGTGGCGCAAGCGGTTAAGTGCGCGTGCTCCGCTTTGGCGGCCCGGGGTTCGCAGGCTCGGGTCTTGGGCGCGCACCGCTTGTCAAGCTTCACTGTGGCGGCGTCCCATATAAAGTGGAGGAAGATGGGCAGGGATGTTAGCCCAGGGCCGGTCTTCCTCAGCAAAAAGAGGAGGATTGGCAACAGATATTAGCTCAGGGCTGATCTTCCTCACAAAAAAAGGAAACAAAAACAAAAGAAAGTTATTGCCTTTGCCTAAGCCAAGTTCTGCCCACAGCTGTTTATGCCTATGAATTCCGGAGAAGAGTTCTCTCCCAGCAGTGACTTGAAAAGACAATCATGATATCTTTATTTATTGGTCCTTGCCCATCCTGGTCTGTATGGTCCTGGTCCTGATGCTTTGGATGCTAAAGAATGTCCTTTCTCCCCATTCCTTCCTTCTCTTCATGGCAGGAGCTGGGCGCTTTTATGACAACCTTGAAGATATGATCGGGTACAGGCCATGGCCTCTTATCAAATATTGTTGGCTCTTCCTTACACCAGCTGTGTGCATAGTAAGATAACCTTCAAAGGGTGAAGCCAGATGAAGGCCTAGAGAAATGGTGGTGGCAGGAAGATAGATACATAGGCCGTTACCCCTAGGAGGGGCTTCTCTATGGGGACTGAAAATTATTTTAGATTTTCATTCATCCTCCCGTTGGATTCTAGAAAATGACAGCAAGATAGATTCTTCCTTTCCATTTCACAGAAGGATAAACTGAGGTCCAGAGCTGTCAGACAGTTTCACCAACACCACATTGTGAGTCTAATGTCACAGGCAGCACTGAAACCCAAGTGCGTTGGGCTGCTTATAATAATACTAATAATCACAGCAGTAATAATAGCGACAGGTATAGAGCACTTACTCTGTGCTGGGCACAAAGTGCTTTACACATTTTGCCCCCTTTAATCCTCACAAGAACCCCACAAAGTAAGAATTACCATTATATTCCTTTTACAGATGAAACTGAAGCCAAAGAGGTTAAGCAATTTACCCAAGCTAGAAAGTGGCAGAGAGCTAGGATTCCAGCCGAGGCACTCAGCCCCAGAGTCTGAGCCACACACCACTGTGTGCTGCTGCTTCTGGCTTTATCTGTGTGTCAGCAGTTCCCCTGAGCGTCCACTGCATGCAGGATGTACAGGGGGCCCAGGGGGAAGGGGGCATGACCCCTGCCCTTGAGGTACTCACAGCCCCACCTGATGGCACAGGAGACTGAAACACTGAAAACACCAGCAGGCACAGAACTGCGTCCTAATTGAGGGCCAACCATGTGTAAGGTGCCCAGGGGCACGGGGGCCCTCGAGGGACAGGGTAGGTATCTTGAAAATACCTGTTGAGGGGTGTGGATTTTGAGCAGAATGTGGATGGAGATTGGAGGCTGATTGGCCCAGATGAGCCTGGAGGCAAATCTAGGCTGGGAGTGTAAGTGTTCTCCGCCTGCTCTTCCAGGGGCGCTGGGGGCACAGAGCCCCTGCTCCCCCAGCCTTCTCTTCTCCTCTCACCCTCAGGCCACCTTCCTCTTCTCCTTGATCAAGTACACCCCGCTGACCTACAACAAGAAGTACACATACCCCTGGTGGGGTGATGCACTGGGCTGGCTCCTGGCTCTGTCCTCCATGGTCTGCATTCCCACCTGGAGCTTCTACAAACTTATCACCCTCAAGGGCCCCTTCAGAGAGGTAGGGAGTTAGCTGGCAGAAAAACAGTCAGAGGGTGTAGGAATCCTAGTGGATGAGGTAGGGTCACCTTGATGATAGGCAGCTACCCGCCAGGGTAAAAGCTGGTATACAGGAGGGCCAGTGAGCCTGGTGTGGGTATTGGGGAGGGACAGGGTGAGGGCTTAGAAGTCTCGGAAAGAGACTGGATGCTTGAAGACACAGGCTGTGATTATAGGGTTGCACCTGGAGGGCATGTGTGTCTGTGGGGAGGCAGGCAGGCGTAAGTGATGAGAGAAGCTGGTGGACTTGCCCCCCACTCCACCTCATGACAGCCACCTCCACTCTCCTTGCAGAGAATTCGCCAGCTTGTGTGCCCAGCTCAAGACCTGCCCCAACGGAACCGAGCAGAACCCTCCACCCCTGCCACACCCAGGACATCACTTTTCAGAGTCACAGAACTAGAGTCTCGCTGCTAGGGGTGGTCAGGCCCTTGGATGGTGCCTGTGAGCCTGGCTGTGGGGACAGCTGCAGGAGAGGGCAGAAGCAGCCCCACTGTGCTTCTCTGCCCCCTCCCCGGGGTAGATAAGACAAAAGGGGATATTTTGGAATCCACCTTCTGAGCTGGGGCTTCCCACCCCAACCTCCCTGCTCCAGGGGTGGCTGAACAGGTGTGAAATGCCAGTATCAAGAGCATCCCCTTTGCGACGGGCCTTGGGAAGCTGGGTGAGGATGGAGGGAAAGGTCTGTTTGGCTGCTGGGCCCTCTTACCCTTCATTCCATTAAATCCAAGTTCTTCCCACCGACGCTAGCAGTTCCGCCTGGTTTCTGCCCTCTGCCTTGACCACCTCCTCACTATAAAGCTGTGGCTTTAGAACCCCCCACCCCTGCCCCATCTGTCTTTCCCTCATCAAGTTCTCCTTGTGGACCGTGAGCAGAAGGGATTGCTGGTGGGCGAAGGGTGATGGGGCCCAGCTGAGAGCCTCTGTCATCAGCCACTCCTCTCCGTGCTTCCCTTTGAGTGCCCTCCTCCTTTGCTCTGGGGAGTGAGAAAGGCAATTGAGGGAAGCATAAGCCCTAAGTGGAGGAGAGAAGAGGAAAGAATGTGGGCTTCTTCTTGCCCACTTTTCCCTTGCTGGGTCCTCGCCTGACCCCGCTTGCCAAACCTGTGTGCGCGTGCCAGGACCTGGTGCCAGAGGCATAAGAGAGGGACAGCAGTGACTTTGCAGACCGGAGGCAGCAGGTCCGGGAAGCCCTGGCAGAGCAGGGCACTACCCCAGGCCAGCCAGCAGAGGGACCCTGCTTCCTTGGGACCACCTCCTTTTTCATCCTCCGCTAAGAAGAGTAGGTGCCGGATGTGGTCGCCGCCACGAGGGGAGGGACTGCCATGACCACGGCCCCACTGTCGGGGCCTGAGCTGTGCAGATGAGCTCTTGGGGTTAGGCTGCAAAGAGGATCCAGGTGGAAGGCAAAACTTGTCCTACCTCAGGGTCAGCAACCATGGCCACAGGTGTGTCTCTGCAGCCTTACCTCTGAGCGGGTGTGTGGAGCAGGGCCACACGTATCTGTGTGTGTGCCTGTCTGTTCAGATGGTTCTTCCGGTGCTGTTCCAGGAGAGCATCCGGTGGTTCTTAGAGCTGCAGACTAAGGGCACACTGTTTCCTGGGTGATTTTTTCGGTTTTTTACAAGTCACTTAGTGGGAAAATGCACTGAAATCTTTGCCAGTCTTCAGGTTTTGATTTCTTGTTGTTGGGAGAGTTTATAAAAATTAGAGATAGCAGCTCTGCTGTGCATTGGCCTTGGCTGCTCCTTCCTGGACAATGGCCAGTTGGGCATCCCCCATGTGTGCCAGGGTCAATCACAGTCCTAAGATGGGAGAAATAAATCTGCTAGAAAAACATGCCAAAACCTGAGATACCACCCACCTGGCATCTGATGATATTTCCAGAACACCTACTATGCGGTGCCATGCTATGCTCATGACACACGAGGAGCAAAAATAGATACAATTTCTTAAACCAGAAATTGTGACAAATGCTACGAAAGGAAAGCAAAGTGCTATGAGAGAGAATAACGGGGGTATGGGAAGGAAACTGATGACTTAGGTGGGTGGTCTGGAAGGCTGTTCTGAGGGTGTGATATTTCTCTCTCTATCCATCCATCTGATCAGCCAGACTCTGCGAGGCCCAGGAAGGAATGTAGGCAGTCTGATAATGGTGATTCGCATTCTATTTAGGAGATTCATTAATGGTGGAATATAGTGTGAAAATAATCCATTGGCATAAGAATCGGGAGATGTGGGTTCTAGTCCTGATCTGCCTCTAACTTGCTGTGTTTCTTTGTGGAAGTTACTTGGAATTCAGGTCTTCATTTTTTTCAGACGGTGATAATACTGCATGCCCTCATGTTGTAGGGCTCAAATGAGGTAAGGGGTGTGAGAGCCCTTTCAGACACTAGGGGCCAAACGGTGTGAGGTCATTAAACCAGTTGTGGGGGATGGATGGGGGGAGCTGCTCTAAGAAGCCGGGGGGCTGACAGGCAACCATGTGAGAGAAAAGCTTCTGGCCCAGGTCAGGGTCAGGAAGGGAGCAGGAACACCTGGACTTGGGCTTTAGCCAAGGGAGTGAAGAGATGTGGGGGCAGGGCGCCTTCAGTCCCATTCCTTTCTTGCCAGAAAGGGTGCCAACAGAACCCTACAGTTCTCAGAGGAAGAAGACACAAAAGGTAGGGGAGCCCTCTCTTGTCTAGAGGCCACACCTGTTGGAGAAGAAAGGCAGAGGAAGAAAGGCTGGCAGAGAGAGGTTTGGGGCAAGTGACAGCTGAGGGGAGAGGACAGGTAACTGGAGAGTTAGAGACTGCAGTCCATGGAGTTAGGGAAGCAACTGGTTAGGCCCTGAGCCCACTGGGCTGCCTTGGGGCCTCAGATCTCATACCTGAGACCTTGCACACAAGTACACCCAGGTCTCAGATCTATACATGTGCACACACACACACACACACAGACACAGTCCCTCATCATCCTCAGATAAGTGTGCACAAACTCAGAGACACCACAGTCTGCCAGCATACTCTTTTGTAGAGGCTTGCAGTCCTGGCTTGGGTCTTACTTGCTAGCTATGTGACCTTGAGTAAGTTAACCTCTCTGATCCTTACTTTTCTGCTCTATAAAATGGGAATAATAATACTTACATCATTGTGTTGTTGGACTCCAGCGGAGGGTGAAGGGAGAGTTGCCTTGGAGACACATTTCAAGCAAACCCATCCTATTTCCTATGACTCCAGCCCCCCCCCCCCCCCCACTTTGGGCTGTCAATGAAACAGAAAAGCCCAGGAAGAGTTCAGAGACATCTTTGCTGTCCCCTGGCTTCCCCAGCCCCAGGTGTCAGGTTGCATTGGGCCCCAGAAGCAAGGCTACACATTTATTAGCTAAGCATGTTTGCTAGGAGGCAAGAGAGAGGTGGCCCTAAAATAACCCTGCCTCCTGTGGCCCGAGGGTCCTGCTCAGCACCAGCACTACTGTCTAAGAACAGCAGGACCTGAGTCCTCCAAACCCTAGTCTATCCCCTGGTTCTGGGAGAGCAGTGCACTCCCAGAAAAGGGTAGACTGGGATCATTTTTTCCCTCAAGTTGTATCCATCCATCCATCCATCTGATAATCATTGAGTGCCTCTGCGCCAGCACTGTAGTAAATGCTAGAGGCAGAAATAAAGAATTGTGAAATATGACCCCCGCCCTTTAGATATTCGTGGTCTGGGAAACAGTTTGCTGCAGTGCAACAAACACAGAATTTTGGAGCCTAGAAGCCCAGGTTCAAATCCCAGCTCCCTCGTTTACTAGTGTATGGCCTTAGGACACATCACTTAGCTCTGTTCAGCCCAATTTTCTCATCTGTAAAAATGGGGCTAATAATTCCTACATTTCAAGGCTCTTGTGAGGATTAAATGAGGTAACATATAAAGCACCTAGCCTGAGTTAGATGCTCAGGAAACAGGTTCCATGCCAGGCTCTCTAAAAGCATGCTTGGGGTTAGAAGATGAGGGTGGTGAGGAGAACATTCTGTGGGGTTCAGTGGTTCTCACTGCATCAAGATACCTGATTCATTTAACCTATTTCCTCTCGACTCTGGACCCTTTCCAGCGTGGCAACAGCCCAGTCCTAGGCTTTCCAGATAATTTAGGGATTCCTACGTTTTGCAAAGATGGAGGTCTCTGGCCTCCAGGAGTTTACCAAATGGTCTGAATACCTCGTGGGGCTGGAAGCTGTGGGGCTTGGGAGGGGCTTTAGTAAGGGAGGGCCCTGAGTTAAAGGGAGGGCCAGGTCAAACAAGGCAGCTGTTCTCCCACAAGGTGAAGTTGAGGCGACAAGGCTGCTGGACCGTATGTACCCCCAGGTCCTCACAGAAAGCCTGACACATTGTAGGCATGAAATAAAATTTCTGAATGAACAAACAAGCTAGGAAATTCACCCTCTGCCCAGCCTGATTCTCTTCCCTCTCACTTCCCTTCATGGAGAGGCTGTGTATTTTGTTCTGGAATAGCTGCAGCTAGGTAATCTCGTGGACTTTGATGTCCCCTCTGCAGTAAACTCCATGGTTGACACATGGGGGACCCGACATGGGGGACAGGGCAGATGCAGCAATGCAGGCCACACTATCCTAGCGGGGCACAGGGTATCTGGAGTGTGAATTCTGCTGGGACCACGCCCTAATCTCCAGAGTGACCCCCAGCCCGGCTTCTGGTTCCACAGAGGCAAAGAGTCTGAGAACTAAGACTCACTCTGGCTTTCTCTTGATGGGGAACACCAAAGGAGATGCTGAGAGGAGCCTGAGAGACACTGAGTGGGGGTGCTGGATGGAAAACTACAGACCAAGACTCGCGCTTCACACCCTGCCCTGCTGGGAAGTTCTAAAACACTAAGGGGAAGCACATGTAAATGGAAATTTCCTTCTCCCCACAACTTCCCCTCCCTCCACACCACCTGGGGCTGAAGAGGCATCTTCATTGTCTTGAAGGAGGCACTGGCTATTCTGAAAGAATGGCTGTGGGACAGTCCTGTGCCCAGCACCACGAGGACACGCTCAGGAACAGTGATGGTGACCCTCTTCTGGAGAAGCTCGCTGGGCACCAGCGTGGGACACACACCTTTATTCAACAAATCCCGATTCAACACTGATAAATTGCCAGGCAATGCCAGGCAATCAGACAAGTCCCAGCTCTGTGCCTGAGTGCTGAGAGTCGCCAGAGCTGTCGGGGACCAGATACTCTACCATCCCAGCGCCTGCTTCCAGAGCACCCCCAGCAAACACCACTAACTCCCCTAAGCACTGACATATCCTAAGCAATTTACCATATTACCTTTAACCCTCACAGCAACCCTGCAGAGTAGGTATTCCCTATTAGAGATTGGGAAACAGGCTCAGATCCTTCCCTGGCTGACATGACCAGGAAATGACAGAGGAGGGCTCCAAACCCAGGTCTACTTGACTGCAAACCTGTGTCCTTTCTAGATTATGCTTCTGGAGGTATGCTCTGGGCACTTTCTCTAGGAAAATCCCGAGGAAAAGGGTAGTGGTTGTGAAGTCCAGAGCCTTGCCTTGAAACCACAGAGGGCAAGTACTTGGTGGAAAACTCCAGGGCATGATTCACCCTCCTCCTGTGCCCTCGTCAGCGAGGCCAACTCCCTTCCCGAGGTGCTCAGTGTCCAGTCTGGGAGGTGGTGGCTCCCATCCTACTGCTCTGGTAAGAGAGGGCTGCACCCTGCCCTGTCTCCTGTCTCCTCTTCCCTCAGAAGGAGCTGGTACTGGGAGGGGGCAAGGTGAGAAGGGGGAAGGGAGAGGGCCAAGGAACACAAGGAGGGGAGATGAAGTTAGATGGGAGTCTCTGAGCCAAGCTCTGGAGGGGTGCTTTTGGGACAGCACCTGCTAGGAGAGCACTGATCTTGAGGGCGGGGTGCACAGTGGGAGAGAGATGGGGGAGGGGGACTGGGGACAGAGGGCTTGACTTCCTGAGGTGAGATGTTGTAATCCTGGGTCACAGACTTTTGGCCTCAGTCCCTCCTGCTGCTTGTGGTGTTTCTCTGCTCCTTTACTTCCCAATACATTGGCTCACACGTGCGTGCGCGCGCGCACACACACACAGTTGCTTTCTGTCTGGGAGTCCCTGGACAATGATGACAATGACTTGGATGGGATTCTGAGCTGGAAAGAACAGGGGAAGGAGTGAAGGTGGACGACAGTTTCCCTTTCAGGTCCCATCTCTCTTGGCTTTCTGCTAAGCAGCTTCTCTGGGGCTCTCCTGGGGCTCTGAGGCACGGAGCTGAGCTGACCGGAGGAGCCGGGATCAGGGACTAAGGTGAGCAGGAGGTGGAGGGCTGGATCTCTCTTGCAGTCTCTGAGAGCTGCCGCAGAGGGGTGGAGGAGGCGAGACTTTGTAGAACTGTGTTTGTCTGTGGAGCAGTAAACTGGGGCCAGAGGAAAGTCTGATGTTTGGAAATCTTAGGACAGGGGTGTCACCCCAGCTTCTCCCTCACCATCCACAGCATCTGAGTTGCTCAGGGACAAGCCTGGGTAGCAGGAAAGTCCACAGATGCGGGGCTGGCCACAGGGAGTGGGTGAAAGAGGCGGCGATCACCTGACTGAAAGGGAGGGGGAAGCAGACCGTGCCCAGCGAGGTGGGGAGGAAGAGAGGACAGGAGAAACCTCGGGGCATTCCTGAAGGCCCGTGATCTGCATTTAGCCATTGCAGGTGAGGGGCTCCTGCCCTCCCCCCGCCAGTCGAGCACGGTGAGCTGGGAGCCAAGTGTCTCCCAGAAGAAGGAAGCTGCCCTGGCTAGGGGCGGTGTGGGGCATGGGCACGCTCGTGCCCGAGGTGGGCAATGAGGGAGCCACCAGCCGAGCCCAGCAGCCCATGGGGTGTGAAGGACTAGACGGGAGTCAGGTTTTGGTGCCATGCACACAGGTATGTATGTGCAAAGGGACGTGACGGGAATGGCACCAGTGTGTGTACAGAAACGGGAACTGGTATGTGGGTGTGGGCTGGAGCAGAGGCTGGGGCGTCCTGTGCCCCGTGTTCAGGGGCTGGGTCACGCCTGTGTTGGCTGGGGGGGTATGATGGGACTAAGCTGGGGTCCCAGCAGCATGTGGGAGCAGCACTTCTACAACTTGTCTGCTCCTCTGCTGGGCCCTGCCCAGGCCTCCGTCCACATGCCCAGCTCCTGAAAACAGAGCTCATTTTGGACTCGCTAGCCTCTTCAAGATTTCCTCAATGGGCAGCACTGAACCCAATGTGGGTGTAGGTGTCTTTGCTTCTGGAGGGCACTGACGTATGGTGAGGTCCATTCCATGCTCCCATACCCTGCCCCAGCTTAGCAAAGCAGGAGGGCAGCCTTGGGGGGTGATGTGAGGGGCTGGAGAGGTGACAGAGCTGGGGTGCACCCTTGGGAAAGGGGGAGATCTCCGGAAGTCATCTTGACTGTGGGTAACACTGTTTGGCCATTCCTAGCAAATGGGTTAGGGGCAGAAGGGCCCAGTGGGGGCGGGTGAGGGTGGCAGGAGGGTAGGGTGTGCTGTGCTTTCGACTTTTAAAAGTAACCCAAAAAAGGAGAGCTCCGTACAGCTTGTTTTTATGTCTAACATCCTCCTGGACATTTCTTTTCTTAGTCTAACTTGAATCCCGCTTGCTGCAATTTAAGCCTGTTTCCCCTTGACTTGCCATGGCTCTGGGCCAGCTTTCTTTTTCGCGTGCTCTTGCTTTCATTCTGCCCTTCCAGTTTTTCATTCCTACCCATAAATTATGCTCCTCCCAGTAGACTTTTTTTTTTTTTTTAACGTGTCACATCAGTGTCAGTTCATCAGTTCACATTCTCTTCTCTCTCCTCCCCCATCCCTGATACAACCCCAATCCTGTGCCTGAGCTGGTCTCTGAGATTTGCTTCCCCAGCCCGTGCTCTCTGGCTTCCCCTTCCTTTACTCCTTTGCCCCAGCAGGTCTCCCCTCCTCCAACTGTTGGGGACAGCTTGGCCCTGAAATAGCAGCCTCTGGTCTGGAAAGTGAGGCTTGTCTCCTCACCACCCCCTTGGTGGCCCTTGGGCTTCAGCTTGCCCTGAGTTGAGCTACCCTATGGCTTGACAAGCAGAGGAAATAATCTCTCCTTGTCTTTTATGGATCTCATTTTTATCCTCCACCTTCCTAACACCCGGGTTGAGCAGAGGTCGTTCTCTCTTCCAGGGAGACTTAAAGCCCAGAGAGGAGGTGTGATTTGCCTAAGGTCACACAGCAAGTTAGAGACTCAGCTCTACCACTTATTATATTGGTAAGTTTATTCAAACCTTCAAAAATAGTTTTACTGAACACCTGCTGGGTGTCCGGTCCTGTTCCTTAATCTCTCTGAGCTTCAGTTCTTCATTTATAAAATGGAATTAATGGTAATACCTACTGCAAAGATTTTTATGAAGATGAAATTTAATAATGTATATAAAGATGTGTATGTTTTTAGTACAGTGCTTACTCAAATGTTAACTGTTATTATTATTATTAGCTAGGTCTGGACTAGAACTTGGGTTTCCTGTCTGGTGCTTTTTCATCAATGTTTTTGAGTTCATTCATTCATTTGTTTGGTAACAGTTCAGGGGGGCCATTCTTCAGGACGCCCCGGCCCCAATTCTGTAGAACACACACAGTGGCTTTAGGTGTCATGAACTTTTGCCCTGGGGCCGACCTGCCCTGTGCTGTCAACCTGAGGCTCTGGTTCCTGAAGCTGCCCTGGGGTCTGGCCGTTTACTCTGAGCTGGGAGCTCACTTCCCTTCCCTTCTCCCCGCCCCCCTCCCTTATATCAGAGGCCGAAGACCTTTGATCTCCACTGGGTGCCTCTCCCCTCATCTTCCCTCCTGGGCCTAGCTTGCAGTGGAACCTCTGAGTAGGTCCCGATACCGGAACTTACCCTGATGTGCTTTCCCATTCCTGGGACACCCTGCACCCTCCAAGCCACCTTCAAAAATTTCCATCACCCCCCATGGCTCCTGCCACGCCTTTCTGACTGACTTGGACTTGGGCTGTTGCCTGGGTTAAAAGGACCAACAAATAAGCACAGAGTCTTCTTTTAATAAAAAGAGCCCCTGTGTTTCTCTAGGGCCTTGAAGGAGCATGGAGCATCCTGGTCCCTTTGATTCCCCAATACTCCTCGGGGGCTCGGGGCGGTGGGGGGCTTCCCCCTGCAGCCTGGGCACCTGGTCCTGGCAGCTCACTAGAAGCAGAGGCAGAGGTGGCCTCAGGGGGATTGTGTGTGGCGGGGGGGTGGGGGAGGGGAGGCAAACAAGAATTCCGATACAGCACCACGATGCCGCAATGGGCGGGACAGAGTAAACCTCAGGGACAGAGTGGCCCACTCATTTTTCTGGAAGTCCAGGGACCTTTGGGCTCTTTGGGAGGGCAGGGAGTCAGGAAGGGCAATAACCTGTGATATCGGGCAGCCACTTCTGGGTCTCCCTTGGGGGACCACTCTGATCTGGAGACAACTACCACCGAAGTGAGACTCACCCTGGTGACCCCGTCTGTCACCAGGCCCCCCAGCCTGTCCTCAGGGCAGAGGGACAACCTGGAAAAGAAGAACCAGGGTTCCCTCGAAGGCCTGCACTAAGACCCGGTGCCAATCCCGGTCTTCATCTGGCCTTGTTCAGAGCCTCACCCTCTCCCTTCCTCCAATCAGAGGCTCAGAGCTAGCTGGCTCCCATGTTCACCCTGAGCTGATCAGTGGCCTTGGCACAGGGGTGATCACACAGCTGGCCAGGGGAAGACTGTGCTGTCACCTTCACCATACCTGCCCTTTGGCCTCCTGTCGTCCCTGGGAGCCTTTGATCCCTTCTGGCCTGGAGGCCAGAGGCTGGGCTGGTGCCACTCACTGGACGCTGAGGAGCTGGGGCAGATGGGCCAGCAGGGTTGGTGGCTGACTGTAAAGATCAAAAGGGACTTGGAATAAAAGACCCCAAGCCTGGGTTTTAATCCCAATCTACTCCTGAATGGTTTTAGGCGAGTCACTTCATCTATCAAGGCCTGGATTTTCCCATCTGGAAAATGGGCAAACTAAGATTTGCTCCCTATTTGTTCTCAGAGTCATGAGAGCAAAGTGTAACTTTAGGTGTAAATGTCATTGAGGGTTTGGGAATAAAATCAGTAGTCCAACAACATTAAACAATATTCCAACAACATTAAATATTAAAGCAATATTCCAACAATAATAAAAGCCTGGCATGGAGAAAGCAGGGATGGGGGAGCATGTGCTGGGGTTGTACAGCTCATTCCTTCTCCTCCCACCAGACTGTGCCTTCTCACCATCCCGCCCCGCTCCCAGCTCTGTGGACTTCTGACCCACTGCATGGCTATGGAGAGCAAAGGGGCCGTCCACGAGGATGCGCCTCCTGTGGTCTTCTGGGTCCCGGAGGAGGCAGAGAAGTTGGACCAGGAAGGCAAGGGCCAGGTGAAGGATCGGGGCCAATGGACCAACAAGATGGACTTTGTGCTGGCAGTGGCCGGGGAGATCATTGGGCTGGGCAATGTCTGGAGGTTTCCCTATCTCTGCTACAAAAATGGAGGTGGTGAGTTCACTTTGAGGTGGGGTGATGGGGAGCTCTGTGCCCTGACAGCCAGGCTGTGCCGACCTGGGTGCCTCCTGCCTGGGCAACGCGGTAAAATGGAAGGAGGCTGAAGTGGAGTGGGGGGATTGAGTCTGAGTTCTGGCTCCACCACCAGCCTCAGTGTCCACCTCTGTGAGGTGGGATGACATCTCACAGGGCTACAGTGAAGACTGAATGAGGCAAGGGCAGGACCCAGGAATCTGAGTTTTTCATGAGCTCCTCCATTACTCTATACAATGTCAGTTGTTGATAGGATTCATTCATTCCTTCAGCCAATATTGTGGGCCTACCATGTGCCAGGCACTGTTCTAGATACAAAACAGAGTGTATTCTGTGTGTTGTATTCTAGTGAAGGGCAGCAGATTACAGACAAATACGTAAAACTTGTGGTAAGTCAAATGGTGATGAGCAGAATGGCAAGAGGCAGAGCAGGGAAGAGGGATAGGGAATGCCAGGTTACAGGGTCGGGGGAGTGAGCTGTGAAATGTGAAATAAGGTAACCCAGAAAGGTTTTGTTGAGGAGGTGACATTTGAGCAAAGACTTCAGGTGAAGAACATTCCAAACAGAGGGAACAGCAAGTGCAAAGGTCCTGGGGTGAAGATGCAACAGGCATGTTTGAGGAACAGTGAGGAGGGAAATGGCAGATGGAGAAATACTAGATGAGATCAGAGAGGAAATGGGGCTCAGATCTTGTAGGCTCTGCTCTGAGTGAGATGGGAGCCATTGAAGAGTTTTGATCAGAGAAATGATATTATCTTATCTACGATTTTTTTGAACTTAAAGAAACATAATTTTATTATTTTTTAGCACTGGTAGTAAAAGTGAGCAGGGGCATGGTAGGGAGGGGCCAGATTCATCTTGTTAAATGTACAATGAAATAGTTTTTAGTATATTCATAGAATTGTGCAACTATCACCACAGTTGATTTTAGAACATTCTCATCATTCCCCAGAGAAGCCCTGCAGCCATTAGCAGTCACTCCCCGTTCCCTCTTCCTGCCAGCACTTGGCAACCACTAATCTACTTTCTGTGGCTATGGGTTTACCTACACAGAACATTTCATGTAAATGGAATAATTCATTTATGTGAATTTATTTGTGACAGCCAGATTCATTTTTTTGACTTTTGAAAATACCTTTATTCTTCTTGTGGAAATGATATGTGTTTGTTGTGAATATTAGAAACATTCCAGAAAGGTAAAAAAAAGAAACATTCCTATTTAAACATAACCATCGTTTAGAAAATCCTTCTAAACTCTATTTATATTTAATTTGACAAATATTTATTAAGCATCTACCATATATCTGGCTCTGTGATTTAAAATTTACAGTTCTCATTACAAACTCCTTGAACGATGACTGCAAAGAAACAGAGATGAGATTTCCTGGGCCGGTCAGGACTTGGAGCCAGGACTGGGAGTGGGGCCTACCGCTGGGCCAGAGACCGGGGGAGGCAGGAAGAAGGAGTAGGGTTGGTGACTTATTTCTTTGTCCCGGGCCACAGTTTCATGGGCATATAGGTTGTTAGAGCTAGAGCTAAAGATGATCCAGTCCGAGCCCTCATTTCATAGGGGAGGACACAGGAGCTCAGAGGGTTCCATGACTTGCCCAAGACCACAGAGCTGGTTGGTAGCAGCAGGCCCTGGAAGCCAGGTTCGCTGGCTCCCCATCACCGTACGCATCTGGCCCTGTCATCTGAAAAGGAGGGAGAACGAGGGCCCAGGAGACAGGGCTTCGGGCTCTGATGCCCACCCTGCCTCTGTCCTGCCCTGCAGCTGTGGCTGTGGCCTCTGTACTGGCCGTGGGATGGAGTGGAGAGACAAGCACCTATGACAGCGTGCAGTGACACTGGGCTGAGCCTGGGTCCTCTGTGAAATGGTGGGACCAGAGTAGGTGGCCTTACATTTGCTGTGCAGGGTCTGTGTCATCTCTGTCACTTGTATTCTTACTTTAGCTCTGTCCCAACCTAACTATTGGTTAACTATTGGTAAACTATTGCTGTCGTCCCTCTCTCTTCCTTCCTTCGTCTTTAACACGAGGGGCTACACCAGGTCAGGGGTCCCAATCTGGGGTCTTTGGGGGTCTAGGAAGGTAGTAGTGAAGGTCCGGGAAGTCATTTCCTTATTTCAGACAACTTAACAATGGATCTAGGTGGGAACACGACTTCACAGATTAACCCAAGTGTCAGTGTTTCACTTCAGACTAAAATTGTACTAATTCACTGTGGTAATAGGGTTTCTCTCAAGCTGACCATAAATAAGCCCTGGTTGGCAGTTAAATAAGGTTTTTATTAATATATGCAGAGAAATTATTAGTGAATCAACACAGTTCTATAGAGAAAAATCGTTCGAAAGGGATGAAAAATAATAATAATGTTATTGTCTAATAATATCTTTGGTTACGAAAAAGCAGGGAACCACCACACTGGATCATCCTTCAGAAATGGTTCACTCCGAAAGATAACGTCATGAAATCCTGAGTTTCCTGATTGTCAGCAGCTCAGGAAGGAGCCCTGGGCAGGGGAACAAGGCGCACCCTGGAGCCGAGGGAGGGAGATTAAACAGCCTTGAATCACCCTGTCTTCACAGATCCCTGTGGGCAGCACCAGGCTGCTTGTGCCCCATAGCCTGGGCAGGCACCAAGAGAACTGTGGGCCGGGTTAACCCTGCAAAGTGAGAGTTCTGAGAAATTCATTTGAGGGGAGAGTGTTTGCAGTCACAGTGTGTTGGAAACCCAGGGAGAAAGCCAAGGATGGAGGATGCCCTATGGTTGATCCAGAACCAACCTCCTCCCACTGCTCCCAAAGCCCCAGGCCCAGCGCTGCCCTTTCAGGGTGGACTCAGCCTGAGTCCTGAGGTCCAGGCCTCCTGAAGTCACCCCATCTTCTGTGGGGCTAAAGTCTACATTCCAAGGATAGACCTGAAGCCATCTGCCTTGTCAGAGGGCAGGACCTCCACACAGCCAGTGGGAAGAGCCTGTGAGTCATGTGCCCCCACAGACTGCCTAGAAAGTGTCCTCTGGGAGAGTACCCCAGCCACATCTCTTCTGAACACTACCCCTCAGCCGAGCCCCTGCAACCATCCAAGCCACTTAAACTGGAGTCAGTGGTGTTAGCGGCACTGTGTTTACTAATGCTCTAGCATTACTCAGGATGTGAAGGCAATACAGGGTTTAAAAGGACTTCAGGACTTGGTGGAGAGGTACTGGCTTGTTGTGGCTCCCTAGGGCCCAGAAGACTCACAAAGCCTTCTGCTTTACTCTCACATATTGCTACTGGGTGCAAGAGTTTGGGAGGACAATTTGGAAATGCACCTCAAAGACCTTAAAAGAAGTTCATGCCCCAAAGATGAAAACAACCCAATGTCTGTCAGTGGGTGAATGGGTAAACAAAATGTGATATACTTACAATGGGTCATTAGTTAGCTTTAAAAAGAAGGGAAATTTTGATACATGCTACAACATGGATGATTCTTGAAGACATCATGCTAAGTGAAATAAGCCAGACACAAAAGGATAAATACTGTATGATTCCACTTACATGAGGTGGCAGGAATGGGCAGTTTCATAGAGAGAAAGTAGAATGGTGGGTGCCAGGGGCTGCGGGGAGGGAGGATTGGGGAGTTAGTGTTTAATGAGTGCAGAGTTTCAGTTTGGGATGATGAAAAAGTTCTGTAGATGGATGGTGGTGATGATGGCACAACAACGTGAATGTATTGAATGCCACTGAACTGTCCACTTAAAAATGGTTCAAATGATAAAATTTATGTTACGTATATCTTACCCCATGCACACACAAAAATGTACATGCCCTCTGACCCAGCAATTCCTCTACTGGAAATTTACACTAAGGGCCAATTTAGACAAGTGCAAAAGGACATGGACAACAGCCTCCATCCCAGCGGGGTTTCTAGTGAGACAACCTGAAAGGCCAGTGAGGGTGCGGGCGGAATCGACTAGGAGAGCTGCCTGCGGTGGAGTACTCTGTAGCCATTAACATGACGACAGAGATTTATATTTACTCACATGAAAAGAGGCTCATGAAATACATTTTTAAATGGTTATCAAGTAATATATAGCAGGTTCTCATTTTTGCAAAAAAAAAGAAATATATATGTGTGCGTTTATAAGAAAATTGGAAGGCTATACAATGCTTTTCCCTTTCTTTTCCATTATACTTTCTATTTTTTCTACAAAATGATACAGATTACCTGAGAGGCATTATGATGTAGTGATTAAGGACACAGACCCAGATCAGACCACCTGGGTTTGTGCCTCAGTTTCCTCATCTCTGCCTCACTTTTTGAATCTTCAAACTGGCCTCAGTGTTCTCATCTGTAAAATGGAGGTGACAACAGTACCAACCCCATGGGAGGTTGTTCTCTGAGGATTAGACATTGGTGAGGCATTTAGAGGAGTGCCTTATACACAGTAAGCACCAAATACATGTTAGGATTATTACTGTGCACTAAACAATAATTCCTTCACCCGTGGATACGCTGCTGAGGTGAGGTGTATGCCTTGGAGTGGGCACCGTGGGCTCAGGAGTGTCTTCACATTCCATTCGCATGTGATTTGCTGGATGTCTTTTAGGCCTGGCCTCCCATTGGGGCCTGTAGGTCAGGGTGGGATCCCTTGGCACCTGTGACCCCAGTTCTCCAGGATCTGCCTGAGCAGAGGAACGGCCTCCTCTGCTGGGAGCCCGGTTCAGATCAGAGCCTGGTGGAGGGAAAAAACCCTCTGAAAATTATTAGAGGGAAAATAATTTTTCCAAGGTGTTTTTGTTTGTTTTTCTCTAAAATGTAACAAACAATAATTTAATAAACATATCAAATTACACAGAACACGTTTTTGTTCCAAAAATAATAAATGACTAGATTTGTGAAGCATACTGAGAAAATAAATAGTGCATATATTAGGATTTCCACTTAAACTTTCATTTGTTTCCCTTCAAAGATCTTTCCTATCCCGAGCAGGGTTCAGACTGGAAAATTTCTGCCTGTCCCTGCTGGTGGACTGGAGGAAGCCACTTGGGTGTGAGGTGGGAGACAAGGATGGCCTGGCGGGTGCTGGCGCACAACTCTGGGAGGGGCCCCGGCTGAAAGCTCAGCCTCTGCCTCCCATTCCTCTGCAGGAGCCTTCTTCATCCCCTACCTTGTCTTCTTCTTCACCTGCGGCATTCCGGTGTTCTTCTTGGAGGTGGCGTTGGGCCAGTACACCAGCCAGGGGAGTGTCACAGCCTGGAGGAAGATCTGCCCCCTTCTCCAGGGTGAGTACTCTCCCTCCTCTCCTCCGCAC